AAATCATTTGTGAACCCTATTTAAATTAGACATGATCGGGGTACCGGTTCGGGTAGCTGCCATACAACTTCTAAAGTTATTTGGCTATATCTCAGAAACTATTAAAGCTATGGTATTGAAATTTCTCACAAACGAATATATTAGTAGGGCCAATGTGTGTCATAAAAGTCATTGAAATTACTTGGCTCCTTCTGGTACCTGTCATACAACCTCAAAAGTTATTTCGCTATATCTCAGAAACTATAAAAGCTATGGTATTGAAATTTCACACAAGTGAATATATTAGTAGGGCCGATGTGCTTGATAAAAGTCGTTAAAATTTCTTGACTCTTTCTGGTAGCTGCCATACAACTTCAATAGTTGTTTGGCACACACAGTATTTTGAAAAACACATTGTACTGAAATTTTGCTTAAATTAATATGGTAATACGGCAACTTAAAGTCATAGTCTGTCCCATAGTCAGGTCAGTTATGGCATCTTTATTCGCACATAGGATAACAAATTCGTACGGGTATCACAGAGTTGACGAGGTCAACTCTATTTTTTCTCGTTTAATATTTTTTTATTGCATATATGGTTACCAACAAAGTTAGACACTCTATAATTGTACACAGTTGGAATACATTTACTTAAAATGTGCATATTACACATGTGAATACTGAGCAATCTCTCGCCTAACAGAGCTTTTGGGACCGAAAAATGTTTACGTTAAGTGAAATTACATTATAAGAGGTCAAGCAATTCAAATTAGATCATTTTATGTTAAATCAAAAATTACATCATTTTATATTAAATAATTTTATTATTAAACACAAACAAAACATAAAATATATACTTAAATTATAAAGTAACAAAATTTGTTTAAAACAAAAACAATTCGATGTGTCGAAAAATTAAATGAAATACATATTGCATGCACAAAAAAATTAAGTTCAACAGGTGTTTCTAGTTACAGAAGATTTTAAATTTATAGTATGAATACACAACATCAGAATTAAAACTTATTGCTGAAATTTTTACAGATATACTATATATAGTTTGCTACAGTCATGCTAATTTGTATGGTACTATCATGCGTAATTTTTAAATTTTTCCGGGAACTCAAGATCAGTATATATACAGTCATACGAGTATAATATAATGAACTACAAAAACAATTTCAATTTGTTCCACAATGTTTCTTGAGTTCCATAAAAATATGGAAGAATACGATTTTTTGACCCCATTCAAAAAATTTAAAATGATTAAGATGAATTCAGTATTTCATTTTGTGAATGAATACTGAATCAGATTTAACAACCACATATTAGAGCAATATAGAATTCAAAGATTAATTTAGAATAGTTAATTTGGTTTAACTTGTCAAGTCTGCGATACAAGTGAATGAGTTTAAGAGTTGTATTGTAATTGTTACAACGACCGCTTCATCCAACCTTTTATTTTTTCTTTTATAAAGTGATTTGATTATTGTATTTATTTATATGGCAGTTACCACATAAAGTCATGCAAGATTGCAGATTTTTACCAAAAATATGTTCACCTTCAATAATTATACTACAAGCTTCAATAATTTATAAGATATAGAAAAATAACTTTAGAAGTCAAATGGCAGCAATTTGAATCAGTGCCTGACATATAAATCTAATCAAAATAATGTTCTGATAGAATTTATAATATATCATTTGTAAAAACTGGTTGAACTTAATTCAATTACTTTTAGATTTATATCGCAGCAAAAAAATAGATGAACGGGACTGATATATCCAAATTGCGTCTCAGAATTCGACAATGATCAAAAATATACATTTACATATATATATTTATACATATATATATATATATCTGTATAATATTTATATACAGATAATATACCAGTTAATATATATATATCTGTATAATTGTATAATTAACATCTGTTAATTGAATGAGGTAAGAAAAATAATTATGTTACTGGGTTTATAGAAATTTGGAATATCTTAGTTTCAGAAAGATAAGGTGCCAAAAATTCGAATTTTACAAATTTCGAAAGGCGATGATTTTGGATGTGGTTGAGGTTGAAAAAAATTTCATTTTTTCTTTTTTTTCTACTAGTTGAAAAAGTCTCGAAATACGAAGAAGGACGGCGCTATCTGCCATTGTCTAGCAGCCGAACTGCTTCCATATTTATATGCTGTTCTAGACGAGCCCTATGCTAGAAGGTTTGAATTTTGTTAATGTGAGTCTTCTTGACACAACCTCACAGTTGAATGCCATATAGCCATATTGGTTTAAAGATTTGGCTAAAAATTAATATCTTATTATCAATTGCCAAATTGGACTTACGACCTAGGAGCCAATAATTTTCTCTATATTTATTTTCTGATTCAATGTGTTTCTTCTTTATATGCTCTTTACACCTTAGCTTGACATCTAAGGTCATTTCTAGGTAGTTTGCTGAGTTATGGATCGCTACGTTCATTCTATTTAAGTTAATTTGTGGTTCTAACGAAATGAAGTATTTATTAGTGTCTAAAAGCTGCTAAAATTTCAGAATTCTAAGTTTTGTGGTCTAGAAGAAAAGTGATATAAAAAATTTGGGAAAAGTAGATTTTAGATAACAGCAAATTTCAACGGCCATTTTGTTTTTTAAAGTTCAAGTATGGCAGGTCGCGATAGAAGAAATAGTAGCTACTATTTTTCTCCGTTTGCAAAACTTGAAAAAAGGTTATAGTTTCGGTACAAGGAGGAGTTGAAGAATGGCATTTTTGAGGTTTTGAGGAGCTATAACTTTTAGAGGGGGGAGATAGGTAAAAATTTTCTTCTACGGAAATAATTTCTAGGAAAGCTCAATGTACAAATTTCAGCTTTCTATCTTCAAGGGGGTTGAAGTTTTGTCAACGGGTCCACGGAGGAACGGACGGACAGACGGACAGAATGAAACTAATACGCACTTTTTAAAAAATTTTTTTTTGAAAAAATGGTTAAAACAAGATTGCACGTGAAATAACAGCAAATTTCATGCTTCAAACATTGTATAATCGTATAAAAATAAACATCTATATATGTATGTATATGTATACAAAATTAGTAAAAAGTAAATTCCACTACAAGTCCACGAGATTGTTTTTGTGTTAAGCATCTATATTCTATACGTATGAAGATGTGAAAGGAACAGATTAGTTTTTAATCCAACACACTCATGTATTCTTCATCTGATTCATTTTTTATATAAAATTTTCATCCTTTTCTTGTTCTCTTTTTTTCTTTCTTTTCTATTTCTCTCTTATATATTTTTCTCTCACACAACAGTTTTGAATAAATTTTACATTCTATTGTAAAAATATATTTTTAATAAAATATTTAAAAACATTTTAAATGCATAATAAAATTAAAACTTGACTATCAACAACAGCTTAATAATAATTCCAGTTTTTCAATCAAAAAAGAAAAAAGAGAGAAACCGAAGGATCGTTCTATTGCACCAACCACTTTTTACTTTTTGTTAATCAATTAATCCAAAAAAAAATTGTTACGCCAAAAAATGAAAACGCTAATAAACACTTTAGACTAAAAAAGTCAGGAATTTTTCAAAAAAACTAAAAAGTAAAAGCTAAAAAGCGAAAGTGGTTGCAGGCAAAGGATCATCCAGCCAGAACCAGTTCATAAGAAATTTAAAAAAAGAAAATATTTTTAGAGAATTTATTTTATAAATAAGAGTAATTATTTTGTAATACAAAATAATAATTTTTTTATTTTAAATTAAAAATCCTTTAAAAAACGACGGACAAGATTCGAGATTTCAGGAGTCTTTTCCTTGTTGATTTATTATTTACTATTTTATATCGTAAGAATAATGAGCAAAAAATAAATGTTTCCTTCGAATTATATTGAAGTTCTTTGCGAATTTACATAAACTCACACACAGAAACCCATATAAAAATATAAAAGCACATACATGCATATGCATGCATTTATATGCATATAAAATATATATATCTAAAGCAGAAAAATTTTAAACCTCCCAAAAAACAATGCTACATAGTTATATACAAACAAAAACAAAATTATAATTTACACACATACACATTCATTTTATTCAAAAATGTACCCATGGATATGTATTTGTATAGGTATGCGTATGAACGCATGTACCATTACCATATAATCGCCACAGCATACAAAAATATGCATGAATATTAAAAATTCGTATGTGTGCGTATGCTTGTATATACAACACACACACAAAAAAATTACTCCGTTATTATTTTTTTCTACGTTTTCCTTCTTTGTTCTCTTCTTCTCATAAACAAGCACATGCCAAAATACGTCAATCCAAATATTCAGATAGGTTACATACGTATGTAAACACTCATTCAATATTACTAAATCATGTTATTTTTATATATATATCTCTGTAGATATGTATGTATATGAAATATCATATATAGAGTCATGTTGGGTGTGTGTATAAGTGTGTATTGTATCTTATTTCTATGTATATATAGTTTGCTGTTGTGACGTTTTTCAATTCGTCATTTCTATCGTATATTTTTATCTCTTTTAATTTTCGATTTTCGGTTGCGTATACGTAATGTAAACGTATATAAACACGTAAATAAAAGAACCTTATTCGCGTGTATATACGCATGCAACACACGTATACACGCAAACGCAAAACAAACATTTTAAATTTTTAATAAAAAAGTAAACAAATAACATAAATCAACAAACAAAAACAATTTTACATTACAACTTCACAAATCTAAATAAAATAAGTATGCAAATAAATAATGGTATGTAAATGAAAAAGGAAAGAAAATAAAAAGGAAAAAATTAAAAAGGATTCTTTTTGTTTTATTGTTATTATTTTGTTTATTATAAATGTATGAGCTCTCTCTCTCTCTCTCTCTCATTTTCACTTTCTCTCTCTGTTCACATTTTTATATTTGTTTGTAATACTTCTGTTTCGGTTTATGTGTGTTTGTAATTAATATGTTTTATATTTTTTTTTGTTTGATTTTTCTTTAATTTTTTTTATTTTTGCTTTAATGTTTTTGTTATTGTTGTTATTTTGATTAGTGAACAACAGGAGGAAGGAAAAGTAAAGAAGAAAAACAGAACAATTTTTTTAATAAAAAAATGTTCTTGTAAAAAAAAAATTTTTATTTTGGTGGCCGATTTTTTCTCGGTTGAGTTGATAGTAAAATATTCTACTCGAAATAACAACGTGCGTTTTTTTTATTTTCTTATAAAATTAATTTTACATGCAAAAATTGTGTTCAATGTATATATATATATATATATATATTATAATATTTTGTTCTCTTATTTATATTAATTACCAAAATTTATTAATTTAAATATAAATTTTGGAAAAAAAATTTTTAAAAAATATTTATAGTACAACCCGGGGGGGTAGTGAGCCCCGCGTCATAATTTACGAAATATTTTAAAATAATTATTTAAAATTAAGTAAATATTAAAAATATATTCAAAAATATTAATTTTATAGAAAAAAAAATCATAAAAAAATTAATAACAATGCTCAAAAAATAAAGTGTAGGTAAATTAAAAGAAATAATTACTTAATATTAACAAATTTTTTTATTAAAGTGTGTTTTGGATTGTAATTTTAAAAAGATATTTTAAAGAAATACCAGAAAAAAAAGCAAAACAAATCCAAAAAAATGTTATTAAAGTGTGCGGGAAAAATATTTTAAAGAAAATTGGAAATGCAATATGAAAAACAAAAAACAAACAATGAAAAGATGAAATAAATTTTCTCAATCTCGAAATTTAATAAAAAAAAATTAATAAGAAAAATGAGGAAAATTTCAAATTAATTTTGATTTTGATGATAAAAATAAAAAAATTAAATAAATAATTTAAGTTTCTGAAAAATATTTAAAAATATTGAGAAAGGAAAAAACATAAAAATTAAGAAAGAAAAATTTTATTTAAAGTTTTTAAATTAAAAAGTTTAAAAGAAAAACAGTGTTTTTTTTTATTTTTAACTCCGTTTACTTCCTTTTCCCTTTTTTTCATATTTCTTGTTTTCCAAAAATAAATTATAAATTGAAAAAAATTAAACCTTTTTTAAATTTTATTAATTTCTCTATATAAGTTAATGTTTTGGTTTTCTCGTATAAATTCTCCACCCGTCGCAGAAGAAATTTTTTTCCTTCTCCTAATTTTCCCATCCTCCTTACCTCCCCTTTTCTGTAATAAATAAGACAAAATGACAAAAACTCAGTAAAGAATTCCGTGTTTTCCGTTATGTGTGTTACCGTCGTCATTTTTTTTGTTTGTTTAATATTATGTGATGTGCTCTCAAGAAACAAATCAAGAAAGGAATATAAATATCAAGTTTAAATTTTGTGAATTGGGCAACGTATTAAATTTTTCCATTTAATATAATTAAATTATTAATTAAAATAAAAATAACAAAATAGTAAAAATATAAATATTATACTAAAGAAATAAAAAAATAAACAGGGAAAAGAGGAAAATGTTTTGATTTAATATTAAAAATCATCGTAAAAAGAATTATTTTTAAAATAAACACGAAATAATGATGAATCTTTTTAAAATTTGTTAAAATTTTTTTCATAAAAAAAAACAAAAAATCCACTGGAAAAAATAGATTTATAATAATAAAAAAATATAACAAAAGATAAATCAAAAAAATTAATGATAAAATTTAATAATAAAAGATAAAAAAATTAAAAATTAAAACTACAAATAAATTACAATAAAAATAATACAAAAATGTATTTAAACAGTTTGTCTGTATATGAAAATGGTAATATAATAATAAGAAAAATGTAAAAATTATATGTCAAAATTATATTAATTTTTCTTTTTTTTTAATTAAAAATTAAATTTTTTGTTTCGCTTTGTCCTACGTTTTTTATTTTTACTATGATTTTTCTCATCGCCTTTTTTAAGCAAATGTGTATGTATTAACACTTTATCAACCGGTAGCCTATTTATCGGCTTTTCGATTCCTTACGCTCATCGACTGGTAGCCTATTTATCGGCTTTTCGATTGCCAGCGCTTATTGATCGGTAGCCTATTAATCGGCTTTTAGTTATCGCCGGTTTTTGTCAGTGGGTTGCTCCTTTTATAACTGCGAAGCGCAAACGCCGTTAATTATTTGCAGCTTTGTACTGACCTCTTCAATTTTTTATCAATTATAATAGTTTTTTACCGTTTCTAATGGATAAAGAAAGTTCAGATGAAGAGTTTTGCTTAGACGCTTTGTCAGACTATAGCAGTTATTCAGAAAGCGACAGTGATGGTGATAGAGATACCATACTCTAAATAGATATTAAAAAATTTAATTATTGTTACCTTAAATTTATTTTATGAATGTAAGTTAAACAGGCAATAAATTGTATAAAATAAATACAAAATAAAGTATAAACATCAATAAAATTCCAATACTTTAAAACAACACAACAGAACACAATGCATAGTGAAAATTTAACCGGTACTGAGAGTAAATTCGGGCGCGACTTAGCCGGTACTTACTGAGTGGCAGCCTCAACCACAATCGGTCGATAAAGTGTTAATATAAAATCAGCCCTATCATGAATTCCGCTCGTAGAATTCTACAAATTACGAACTTAGCTACGACGTAGAATTTTAATTGATCACAAATTCCTTTCGTAGAGACTATAAATCAGCAATTGCAATACAATTTTTCGAAGTGTCAAAATCAGTATTTTATTTCAACTGTCAAATGTTTATTAATGTTGTTTGAGTACACAACTTTCATTTTCTAGTTTTTGAGTGGAAAACTTTTTTTAATATGAATTTTTTTTTAGAAATACGAACGAAATTCATGATAGGGCTGAATATAAGGGAACAAGGGGCCATTAAATAACCTTATCCATAATTTACAAAAAAAATCAGTTTTAAAATCGCCTTTTATAAAAGCTTTCAACTCGAGGATTTTTATAATTCAGGAAGTTCTAGATTAAATCTTAAAAATTTTTTCACACATGTGTACAAATCTGACAGAAACTGAACTTTTTACTTTTGAGGATTCGGTATAGAAATGTAATTAGTTTAGATTTATCGAACATGTTTTATTGTAAGAGCCTAAATTAGAACTAAATTATCGAAAATCCTCTTCATAATTTTTCTTTTTACTTAAATGATTCCATGTAAAAATATTTGGTAAGTAAATATTGTGTTTGTACATTATATGGAATGTACTTGAAATTTTAGCTGTTAAAGTCGCATATTTTGACATTAGCGTTAATGATTTTAATATTCCACAACTTATTTTCGAACGTGCTAACCACCTTATTACAGCTTATGCAGAGAAAATAGCAAAGTCAATAGCATTATTGCTTGTTCCTGTACCGCATTCGACACGATGTATGCTATGTATGTATGTACCTATATGAAACTCCAATTTTACAATAGAGAAGCCAGGGGAGAACTATCATCATAAAGTAGTTGTAAAACTTTTTCTTCCAAGGCAATACCACGAGAAAAATTAAGAATAATTTGACGAGGATATTATGGATTCCTCTTTTTATATATTAATATATACATATACAAATTGTAAGGTATTCTTTTGGTAAAATTTTCTAAGATTTATAAGATACTGGATTTTGAATTATGTATTACGATGTAGTATAAAGATTGTTAACTTCAAAGTTTATGATACGAGTCCATCCAGTAGCCTAATACTTATATAAAAGATGTGAATTACATTGAATTTTCCTCAATTTTATTCGTAATACTTAAACTCAATTTCTTAATTTAAAATAAAAGCTGTAATATTTCCTGTGAATTGAAGTGTAAAAAAAATTGAACAATTTAAAATAAAGATCAAGTATTAACTGCTTGAAAAACAAAAATGACTTTATGATGAATGTAAGACAACTTTAAAATTACGATATAGCCACATTAAAACTAGAAAATTTTGCTAACATGTGTTTGGATACTACAACCGCTTCTTTTAAAATTTTAAAAACAAAATAACTTTTCGTACTATAAAACAGCACTATGATAACATAATGAGTTTATACAGTGCTGCTTTGAACACCGGTACAACCTTTAAAGATCAATCGAAAATAAATTAATAATACTTATTCAACAGAATTTTAATTTATTCTTAGCATATACATGAACATATAATTGAATACAACATATTTATTATAACAAGCTTAGGTTGGGTTGACGCGACTATTAAAGGATACACTAGTTTTCAACTATTGAAACTATTGATGATTTTTAAGTCGATATAATACTATCGTCAAATAAACATCACTTCTTGTCAATTAATATATTTTGAAAAATGGGCGAGAACGAAATATGGTTTTGAAGTTCATGAACTCCATAACATTATTTTCAAACGTATACACGCTAATTTACATTCAAATTTCACTAATTACATCAGTGAAAATTGAAAATTTCTTCTTTCAATTTCTAAGTCCAAGTTTCATTATATTTCTAATATTCTTTCTTTAGAATGAATGAACAAGAGAAAAAACTATGTCATAGTTAAAGTTGGCCTTTGACACACAACATGCCGTTTGAATACCGAATTTAACTGAGCGTTTACATTAGCGAGTTATTGGCATAAATGTTTTAATGTATATAATTTTACTAATATTCTAAAATATCTCAACTTGTCAGTTTATTGGCAACCAAAAAAAACTTTTTTTGCTTAAGCAGACGAAAAATTCAAAAAGTTTAAAACAACAAACAATTTTTTTATCGATAAAGTAAAGAATGACAAGTTAACAAAAGAAAAATATTTATTAAATAATAAAAATATTTAAAGTTAATATTATGCCCATTACAATGCCTGTGTGGTTTACACAGGCATTGATAAGTTTAAATATGGTTGATATATACTTTTTTTATTCATTCCATGTTTGATTATAATTACACTATCATGTATATACCACTATTATATGCTTCTTTACAAATTAGATGGAGGCCACCGGTTGCAGTTTACTGTCCTGCAAGTTGCGAAAATATCGAGGGTTCAATATATCGATAGTTCTCCAATACTAGGATACACTTAGGCCAAGTAGGTCCATCGTGATATCGCTGGATCTACATATCCCCACCTTCACACTCTAACCAGACCAAGTCTTTTATTAACCGGTTTAAGCCCCTGGCATTTACATCCACCAGGTTCGTAATTTCCAAAAAGAAATGCGACTCACGGAACTGTTTGTTTTATAATATGTGTTTGATAGCACAGGAGACCATTAGACTCTTTTAGTGCTGCATATGAGTACTAAAGCGAAAATTATACTGAAATGTTTAAAACGATGAAGTTAAAGTTTTGATAAAATTTAAAGCTCATTATAGGCTGAATTGTTGGAAACATTTTTTCGAAAACAAATAAGCCCAACTGTGAAAGTTCAGTAAGTAAATTAGTATGTATAATTTAGAATTTGTATGAAATGCATGATATACTCGTATGTAATCATTTTTCGTATTTTTTTTGAACACATTTAACACGTTTTACTGGCAAAACTATGAAAAATAGAGGAAAATGTTATATGGGTTAACTTTTAGATCACATCGTAGCGCACCGAAAAAAAAAATAATAGCTGCATCTCGAAAACTGTTTTTCAAATCAATTTAATTGTAAGACCAAAAATAAGGAACATTCAAGTTCATAATGATAACTATATGCTTTATGGTTCCGAAGCTATAAGCATTTATTTATATGCAGGAAAAGGCCGGTACCAGAACTTTCAGTAGAGCGCGCATAAATGAAAACTCCTCATAAATAAAAAAAATTAAAAATTTTTAGACCCGTTATAATTATGCAAAAGAATTTTTTTTTTTTAAATTTTGTTGAACTTCTGAATTATCGAAAATTCCTTTTCTTTTGTTTTTTATTTTTAATTAAATTCACTAATTTTCTAAATATACTTTTATGCTCTCTTTTCTCTTATTAACCATATCAATTAACTTAAAAAAAAAAAACACAAAAAAAATGTTAAACTTTAATATAAAAATATTTAATAAATGTCAATGAATTGATGTGTAATTGATAATTTATATATAAAAAAAACTCTCATTTACTCAAAAATTTAAAAAATTATAAAAATGATATGAAATATATGAAAAATAAATTAATTAATGATTGTGATTGTGAATTTTCATAATTTAAATTTAAATTAACCATAAAATCATTGAAATATTTTTAAATGTTTTCGAATTCATATTGAAAAATGAAAAAAAAAATTAAATATCCAAACTGTGTGTTGAAAATTAATTATTGTGTAAATTTTTAATTTAAAATTTTAATACTTAATATTAAAATTCTTATAAAATATTAAAATTTTTCCAAATTTTTCTTCCATTTTTAAATTAATATACAATAAAATATCAAAAAAATAAATATGATAAAAAAAATAACATAAATATTTTATGCTCTTTGTGTATATTTTTGTTATACAAAAATTATATTTAAAATAACAAATAAAAATATAATATTTAAATTATTTTTTTAAAAAAATATTGTGTTCAAATCTAAATAAAAAAAACTATAGAGCATATAATGCATGGTCATGGATCAGTTAGTCAGAGTGCATTATTTGGCTGTTCTGCAGCTGGTCATAGTGGCATTAATCAATTAGGCGGTGTTTATGTAAATGGACGTCCACTACCTGATTCAACACGTCAAAAAATTGTTGAATTAGCGCATTCAGGCGCTAGACCATGTGATATATCGAGAATATTACAAGTTTCAAATGGATGTGTTAGTAAAATCTTAGGCAGGTAAGTTTAATATATTATTTAAGGTACAAATATATATGCATACTGTACATATGTACGTAAAATATAATAATATAAATCCTAAAAATATATAAAAAAATATGTATTATTATGAAGACTATAACATCTCCTTTATATTATTTAATTTTTCAAAAAAAGTTTTTGATTTATATCAGGTCTAGGAATTAGTTCTTTCGATTTTTCTAAAAGTTGGCGCCACTTATTAGGCGAAGGTTGTCAGCCCTGTTTGCTATATTGTTTTAAAGTACAAAAATTTACCTTTAAAACGCAATAAGTCACAACTCATAATATTAATAATAACATATTTTTTTTTTGAGCTAAAAATGTCGAGTTTCGTGCCTGAAAAGTTCATTTTGCGGGCAAGTTTAATAACCTTCTTTCATTTGAAGAAAACGGCTGCAGAAAGTTATCGTTTGTTGTTAGAAGCTTATGGTGAACATGCTTCTACACAAAAAACATGCGAAAACTGGTTTCAAAGGTTTAGAAGCGGTGATTTTGACGTTAAAGACAAAAAACGTTCAGGTCATTATGTGAAGGGTGTTGTTGTACTACGAACTTCTGAAACCTGGTGAAACTATTGATGGAGAACGTTATCGACAACAATGGGCCCGTTTGAAGCGAGCTCTTGCTGGAAAACGCCCAGAATTGGATAACCGACATGATAAAATTATTTTTCAACATGATAACGCTCGACCACATGTCTCAAAACCGGTCAAGAACTATTTGCAAAATGTACGATGGGGATTGTTATCCCACCCGCTGTATTCACCAGACATAGACCATTCTGACTACTATTTGTTCGATTGCATGAATAACGAGTTGATTGGACAGCGGTTCACGTCTTTTGAGGATATCGAAATATGGGTAGTTGACTGGATTCCTTCAAAAGATGAGGAGTTCTTTCGACACGGAATTCGAAAATTGCCTGAAAGGTGAGGAAAAGTATTGACTAGCAATGGGCAATATTTTAATTAATGTGATTGTCCTTTTTTCTTTGAAAATAAATAGCATTTTTGTGCAAAAAAATTGAAGAAACTAATTCCTAGACCAAATATATTATTAAAAGTTTTAAATTTTGTATTATACATACGTCTTATAAGTATCTGTACTTCGCAACAAAAAGAATAAGCTGTGGCGCAAATATCTCTCCACTAAAGGCGACAGGGACTATGATAATTGCCGATTGTCGTATGATCAATTTAAATTAGCAGCAAAACAACGTTACGACTACTATATCTATAAAACTTCGGATAACCTAATACGTAATCCCAAAGTCTTTTGGAAGTTCATAAACCATAAGAGGAAAAGTGAAAGTTATCCAACCTTCTTGAAATTTGACGGGAATACAAGTAATAATTCCCAAAATATTTCTGAATTTTATCGTAACTTTTTCGCCGAATCTTACTCTTTTTCATCTTTTCAATTAAATGTCGACAACTTTCGGCACATTGAGAACTATCCTAAAACTACCTTTACAAATTTTGTCACGAACTCTTTTGCGGTTGAAAAATATCTTTCTAATTTGGGTTGTAGTCTTTCTCCTGGACTAGATGGAGTTCCTGCGATTATTTTAAGCAGGTGCTACTCTTCCCTGGCGCCCATCTTAACCTTAATTTTTAATAAGTCTTATTCTTCGGGTATTTTCCCGTCCGTGTGGAAGGAAGCTTTCATTAGGCCAATCCATAAGAAAAACAATAAAAATCGTCAAACTATCGTCCTATAGCCAAACTGTCGGCAATTATTAAGGTTTTTGAGTTGATGGTATATGACAATATTTATTTTCATTGTATGCCATTCATTAGTGCGCGTCAGCTTGGCTTCTTGAAAAAGAAATCAACGATGACTAATCTAGTGGAAGCCACGACAGTTTTCTCAAATAATATGGAAAATGGGTATCAGACGGACGTGATTTACACAGACTTTTGCAAAGCCTTTGACATACTACCACATGAAATTATTATTTTAAAATTGAAACTCTTAGGATTCCCTGAAAACTTCTTAGCATGGATAAAGTCATATCTCTCCGGCAGGACTTACAGAGTCCTCTTTCGTTCAGCAATTTCCTCGCCTTTTTCGTCTAATTCTGGTGTACCCCAGGGTAGTCACTTAGGTCCATTGCTGTTCATAATTTCAATTAATGATGTTGTTTCGATGCTAACGCACAGTGAGGTATTAATATATGCTGATGACATGAAAATTTTAAAAAAAATAAGCCCTACAAATGATGCGTTGTGTCTTTAGAATGATCTTAACCGATTCTACGGCTGGTGCTCAAGTAACAACCTAAAAATCAATGTAAGTAAATGTGCACAAATGTGTTACTCTAGGCAAAAACGGCCAGTTTTTACAAACTATACTTTGAATGGCCAAGCTCTTAGTCGAGTTGATTCAATAATACACCTGGGTGTTTGCTTCGATAGCAAGTTATCATTTATAAACCACTATAATCATATCATATGCAGATCAAGCTCGATGTTGGGTTTCATTCAACGCTGGTCAAAGGAGTTTAATGATCCTTATGTCTTAAAATCACTCTACACATGCCTGATCCGTCCTCATCTTGAATATGCTTCACAAGTATGGTCACCCTATTATGATATACATATTAATAGGATTGAGTCTATTCAAAAAAATTTTTTGAGGTTCGCACTGCGCCTTCTTCCTTGGGAGAATCCCATCATTCTTCCACCTTACGAGCACAGACTCAAATTAATTGACCTACCCACACTGGGTAAAAGACGTGACGTCGCGGATTTGTTATTCATTTTTCAGCTTATGAAAACTGACCTAATCTCCCCCGACATTTTAAATAAAATTGTGTTTAATTCCAACCTAAGGTCTCGTTCTCCGGATCTTTTCATGGTTCCTTTTCATAGGACTAATAATGGGAAACATGAACCTGTCAGCAGAATGCTGCGTTTATGCAACAAACACAAACACAGACTTGACTTTTCACTGAAGAAAGACACGATGAAAAAGCTTCTATTTACTTATAGTTAAGTACAACCCTTTGCTTTATTTTAACAAATTCTTGTTTTAGCTTTTCTGTCTATATTCATATTTAATGGAATATTATTACTAAGTTTTATTTTGTATAATTTTTAAATTTAATTTTTAAGTCAAAAATTTGTTCTGTCTAAAAAAATATGTATCTGTATATTCATTCTTTAATTTTAAGTTATGTAAAATGTTTGAGCTAAACATAAATAAATAAATAAATAAATAAATAAATATGTAAATAATACGTCGCCATGAAGTTATACTCTCCTGTCTTCAACAATCCGTTGGAAAAGGAGAACTTTTTACCACAATCTATAGAGTTACTTTTTTCGAATTATTTATAAATTAAGCTTAATTTTGGGATTTAGTTTCAATTTTCATCACCCTGTAAGTTATGCAACAGTATAATTATAATACCAAAACTATAATCACAACTAATTATTTTAACAACTTATTGAATGCTATTTTTTATTAATTTTTTTTTTTTGTTTTTATGCTAAACAATTTTATTAGTATAGCAAATTACTATTTCGAAAAATCACTGTTAGTTTGTATTATTATCACAAAGGTTTGGTTAGAATTAGAATCTTAGATCAATCATTTCACACTAATCATGCCATAAGACATAAAGTAAGCAAACTATCAGTTGCAATAACAATTAAGCAATAATGGAGAATGAAATATGTTAAAATGAAAAATTACAATAAAAACGTAGACAATGGTAGGAGTAGGAGTTTAAGTACTTAATACAAAGACTGACATTAAATGATCTTAGAAGTAAGCAGGGTTACCATGCAAAAACTAAACTGCAATATTAATTTCGAAGTACTCGTATAGGCTATGTGAAATAAAAATTTTTATTTTATTGTGCAAATTCAATTTTTTCTACTTTACTAGTGCTAACATTCTTAAAGTTAATTAAAATATTACAAAATTGATTTAAAAAAAACTACCAGGCTCCGCTAATTTTTTTAAGGTTTTCAATAAATGCCACACTACGAAAAAAATATTGCAATTTTTTTTTTCGAAGTATTAAATTGATTTTTATGTATTTTTTCAAATTTGAGAAAATGTAGATTTAATATTAACAAATTGTTAATTATATATGAAATGTCTCCCACAATGCATACTTTTTATATAATCGCATATATATTCCTATATTTTTCATGTGTTTACTAAATTAGTTAAATTAATATGCTTCTTAATTCATAAAAATTATTGCATATGCGTATTTTTTTATGTTAAAAGTATGTGATTTAAGTCATATTAGGAAATTTTTTTTTTTTTTCCTTCTTCACTCCTAGGAGGAGTATAGGGCTAGTGCATGATATCTATCATGCACTAGTTTCTATAGTCATAGAGAGTTAGCTACCGTTGTTTTTATTTATATAAATTATTTCAGTTTATTAATAATTACTGTTTAGTTTTCTTAGTCTTTAGTATCGAATATTATGAATATTTGAAAATTACTGGTGTAATATTTTTTAGTATTGCATATTAAGTTATATAATATTGAATACAATTATATAGTGACCTGACCGGGGTTTGAACACGAGATCCTTCGGTTAAAGGGCCGGTACCATAACCACTGCACCAATGGTCAGGTGGTTTCCTCCATATTAGGAAATTTTCTTCCATATTAGGAAATACTTTATCATATTAAGTGAACCTAATTCATTGATTTACCTTAACTACAAACAGTTTGGCAAACAACATTTTTAAGGTATCATGGAAGAAAATTTGTTTAATCTAAATTGAATTCAACACGATATGTTACGGCAAGAGATAATCGAACTAAAATGTTATGGCGAGTCGAATGGACTAGGCGAATTAAAAATGATATTTTATATTATGATCGGCGAATGCTCATATTGGCTAGATCCAAAAAGTTCCTAACGTTAGACATCAACAAACCTACCGAAAATAATAAGATTAACACCACACATATTTACATTGTTTTTGCTTTTTTGCAAAAACAATTG